TTTAATTCTTTTAATGTAAATATTACTTTAATTCTTTTAATGTAAATATTACTTTCATTATTTTAATAATATATTAATAATATAATATTACTTTAATAACATTTGAGAAGTTTTGTTAAGTGTAAGCAGTGTGAGGAATGTTTTATTACTATAAAAAAAGTCAAAACAAGTAACTATTTTATAAAAATTAATATTGCTTTTATTTTATGATTTATTTTATTTTAGGATAAGTTGAACTCTATCCTAACTGATATCACCATGTTTCCTAATCGTAGGCATTTTTAATAAGTTAGGCGTGATTAATAAAAAAATGTTATGCTGATGTTATTTAATGAAAGATTGTAAATATTCTTGCCTATTATCATTATTTTAGTATTTAAACAGTCATCTAACAATGTTACAAAATCAGGTAAAAATTTTGAACGTGCATTTCCCGTTGTGTATGAGAAGAGAAATCTCGTCTCGATCTCGTCTCGAAATTTTATGAGAAATAAAAAATCTCGTCTCGTCTTGTCTCGAACTAAAAATCCAATCTCGTCCATCCCTACTAATCAGAAGAATGCTTGGACGGAGAGCACTATTTTTTTGGAGTGGTACGATAAAACCTTTATTCCTCAAGTGAAAAAATTTAAACAGGAAACAGGAAAATAAACGGTATCAGCATTCTGACACATACTTTCTCCCATAAGTTTGACAACAACCTTCATCATGTGTAAGTGGTGAGATTAAATATAAGGAAATGGGATTTGTACAATTTTGTTGAGAATTTAAAGGACTACTAGCTGTAACCCGCGGGCTTTGCCCCGTTTAACTTCTTAATTTTCAAGATGATCTCGTTCGCATGGCTCAATCACGTCCTGGTTGAAGTTCGTTCGCTACGCTCACTCACCTTTAGGTTGGAGCTCGTTCGCTACGCTCACTCACCTTTAGGTTGGAGCTCGTTCGCTGCGCTCACTTGCCTTCAGGTTAGCTCGTTCGCTACGCTCACTCACCTTTTTGGTACTATAACATACTACATTTTGATCAAAATCGTTCGGGCCATTTTTGGGAAAATCCTATTTTTCCGTTATTTTATGGGGTTTTATGGGAAAATCCCCATTAAAAATAAAAATTGCTAAAAAATGAAAAACTATCAAAATTGTAAGGACCATAACATAAGTACTATGTTAAATCAAAACCGGATTTTTGTCTAAAATCCTATTATTAGTTTTTTATGGGGTTTTATGGGAAAATAACATAATTTACCATAACTTTTGAACCGTAATTTTTACAGAAATGGGATTTGTACCATTTTGTTCAGAATTTAAAGGGCTACAACATACCAAATTTTTATCAAAATCGTTCGGGCCATTTTTGAGAAAATCCGATTTTCCCGGTTTTTATGGGAAAATCCCCATTAACACGTTGACTGCGCGTGCCGACTTTAGTCGGCGTCGCCAGCGCTCCCAGGTGGCGCGCGCCGACTAAAGTCGGCACCAGACCAACAGAAATATATTGAGTCAGTGTGAGCTTAGCCTCAGACGGAGACGTTATAATCGTTGCCAGCCTGCCAGCTTAGAATGCGAGCTTTACTTTGGTGTAGGTTGGTACTAAAATTTCCCGTAAAATCCTGTCTGGCAATGCTTTTGTCCCGGTTTCGGGGATTTTTTCTCTTCAACCCACATTACAAAGACACTGGATACGGATTCGTGCAGTGCTGCTACCTTTGGGTGTTTCAGTGAACTACATCCACTCTCGGGGTAACGCAGCACAGTAACCACTGCTCTTTTGTGATTCGTCAGACTGAAATATTTGAATGCCAATTGCGTTCGCTGATTCGGTTGCGCTCCGGGGCTTCGCCCGCCACTGGGGAGCGCCTGTAAAGTCGGCGCGCGCAGTCAACGTGTTAAAAATCAAAATTTCAAAAAAATGAAAAAAACGCCTGGAGATACCATGGATTAGAACCTACATACCAAATTTCATCGAAATCGGACCACAGGTGTAGTCTCTAGCTCTGTACACATCCAGACACACACACACACACAGACATCACTTCGAAAACCACTTTTTTGGGTCCAGGGGGACCCAAAACGAATATATCCACTCAAAACTCAAACTCGAAAATTTTGACGAAAACAATACTTTCTCCATATACTATGGTATAGGGGGAGAAAGTAAAAGGGAAATGTTTTACTTATCATGGACAAAGCGCCGACACATCCTTCACTAGATTTTATTTTCTGACAACAGCTGGAGTTTCATAACAATGTTTGTTTCCCATGTTAATCTTATGGAGAAATACAAAACTTTAAAGGGCCCCAGGGCCTCACTCTCTAATTATTTCCCTAAAAAGAAAGTTTCCTGCACAACTTCACGTTACGCTCTTTCCAATGACCCCAAAAACAAGTCAATCGGTTCAGTAGTTTCGGAGGAGTAATTGTCACAAAAAACCTGCTTGCGTATTAAATAAGTACGAGCTGTTGGCCCGTCCTACGTACGGGAATTGAGTAGTCCACTCAATAATTTCTTTTTGACTGTGTATTTGGATGGTGGCTTGTTTACTTGTAAGCAGTGGTAAGGGGCGTTGTGTAGCACAATAACACTTTTATTAGGGAGGTTTGGTATAAGTTTTTCATCGATCCACTTTTCAAGGTTTACTCCATTCAACTGGCCATGATAATCGCCAGTTGCTTTACCGGCTCTAAATTTTAGTGTCGCGTCATGCAGAATACCATCTTCTGAACCGGCACTAACCACAATTAATCTATTAGACGAGCTGGTGTTTGTGAGGACCCCGGGGACATAGTCACTGCTCCAGCATTTTCCAAATGTTAAGTTGTTATCTTACCGCCATCAGGCTGTGGTTTCCTAGACGTATAATAGATGGTATGCGCATCGAAGACGCAGCACACTTGTCTTATGGAGTTTCGTATAAGCGGTTTCCAAGGCAGCGTATCAAGTGCACGAATAGTGCATTGAATATGTGCGCACAAATAGCTGCGTATTTGACTGACTGCTTTCAGAGCAGTCAAATCTGAGTTGCGCTGCGTAACAGACAAGTCATGTGCATGAATTTTGCCCAAAAGGAAAAATTATATAATGACGACGAAGAATTGATTAAATTTGTCTCTTCTACTGACATATAATGGAAGTTTAGCCATCCTATACCATAAGAGTTTTCGGAAGTTATGGGGGTTTAGTGAGCGGGAGAAAATTTCGTGCCGTTCCGGCCAAACCTCGCATGCGGGGTTAGTTTGGCAGATTGGCCACAACCTAAACCCCAACTCTCACTTGTTAGCTGCGGAGAACTACCTTCTGCCACTGGGTGTTGGTCCACCTACAGAACCAAGTGAGGGGGGCCCTAGACTAAGGTGTAATGCGGTCTTGTGGCACTGGGACCTAATAGTCAGTGTCTTAACGGAGCCTTCTGGGAACCAGGGGTAACCCAGTCGTACGCACCCCTTACCTCTCTAATCGGGTCACTGGGGAGGTGGACTTAGATACCCGGTATTCGTGAGAACAATGTAGACAATCTGACCCAAATGGAGGAGGAAGGTCTACTGAAATCTGACAATGACGACAAGCTCGCAGAAACCGGAAAGGAACGAAAAACGACTTTCCAGGGGCGAGTTGCAAATATGGAGGATAGCGGATGCTTTAGCCAAAGGCGAAAAGGTGCTATCCAGAATTGAGAGGAGGCTGGTGTGGGCTGCCAAGCACCCTAACTCTGCTCCCTGCAAAGCCAGTTCCTCCGGGAACTAGGATGCTGGGAAAAAGCAGGGCAAGGGTGGTATCCCCAAAGCTGACTCTAATGAAGCCTCCAGGAAGAAAGGTGGAGGCTGTGCTGACGCAGCCACAAAGGATTGGCTGGTCAAGCAAGTTCAGGAGCTGAGTCCTTTCAGGGAAATCTCGCTACGGCTTGCCCCAGCCAGAGACCTTGTGAAAGCTGTGAAGGTATATTTATGTGCCCAGCCCTACAAGGTCTGCGTATGAGATCCCTTGGCCTATTGATGGGAGATCAAAGGGGGAGAACAGGTTTCCATAGTCAAAAGGCTCTCACGGTTCACTGAAGGACCTGAAATTTGACGGAGAATGAGGACCTGTGAACAAGGGTGCACAATAAGCTAATTATAAACAAACCTTTTTTTGACAAATATAACAGTAAAAACAAAGAGTAAAAGCTAAAAGAGTAAAAGAGTAAATTGAGATTTATTATTTACATTTTAAATAAACATGTTTGCTTTAATACTACAGTTAAAACCTCCGGGATCGATGCTTCATCGAAGTTTGTAATAACAAAATACCCATGTCATTATCTAAATTATCGTGCAACATTTTAGTAGCCCCTAGTAATCTCTCCCGTGAACTCATGTTCCGCACCAGCCGTGTGTAATGTACACAGTCTAGGAAACCACTGACGACGGCTGCGTTTTGAGACCTGGATAAAAGCCGCAGCGTATCTAAACCGCAGCACATCTATTACACGTCTAGGAAACCATAGCCTAATTGATGATAGAGATGTAACATGGCCAAGGTATGCAGTAGAACAAAACAGCACTAAAGAAAGCCAGTGTTTTCATTAAGGGACAAAAAGGAGTAATCGGGAATTTGTCCATCTATCAGTGGGAAGAAGGGTTAATAGTTGACATGCTGGGAAACAGATCATACATTGTTGAAGTAAATGGGAGAAAGTTGTGTCGTAATTCATGGTATATATGTCCGTTCGTTGAAACATACTCCCTCCCCTTTTTTCTTTTTAGAAGGGCGTCTAAGTAATTATTTTGTCTAACCACTTTCTGCAAGTTAATCTCGTTTGTGTTTTGTTTGTCAACTGAACTGTAAAAAATAAATAAATAAGAATACTTTAATAATTCAGTGTTTCTTAGAACACATATGTTTTATAGAATAATTGTCTTAATTGATAAACAAATGTATATTAAATAACAAACAAGTCGAAGAAGCAATATCTGAATCCTTTGACTTACAACAGCACAAGACAAACATTCATATCTATATCTCACCTGGCTCTTCTTTGTTGGGATGGTGGTGTTTCTGGAAATGAGTCGTGTAAAGACTCCTCCAAGAGTCTCAATACCCAGTGACAATGGGGTGACGTCCAGTAACAGGACATCATGTACCTCTCCTGACAACACTCCCCCCTGTACTGCGGCACCTACTGCCACCGCCTCATCAGGGTTCACTGCCTTGCTGGGCTGACGACCAAACAGATCCTGCACTGTCTGCTGAACCTGAACATACACAGTAGTTTATGTACATTAGCTATTCCACCCCTGTGAAGAATTGTCATGGTATTCTTCTTGGGATAATGAGGTTACGTAATGTAATTATTTGGTAATTGAGGATCTACTGTATTATATTTGGTGGTAAAGTAGAGAATGAGAATTAGCTATTCAGTACATGTTTGAAATAAACTTTTTAAAGAGTTATACAGCCTATTAACTCGACCGTGAACTAGGGAATTGCCCCGCTTAGTGCATCGGCGATGTTTTCTACACTTGACCCGCAGAATGTCACCTTAGGCCAATAATACGTCTCAAAGACATGAGGAAATATAGTGTGAGTTAACATAAACATACAACTTCAGCAAAAAACTCTTTATTGTTTGAGAACCAGAACATCAAAACATAACCTCAAGTAAACAGTCATCTGCTGAAGTGTGAGGATTTTGGCCGCTGGGTGGTCTGTTCAAGCAACCAACTTTAGAAACTAGATGTGAATTTTGAAGTTGAAAAGACAAAAGAAAAATTAAACGAAAACACTACTAGTTATCCTAGTGGCCAGAGGCGGAACTATTGAATAGTTAGTTGTAGCAATGTTAATGTAGCATTGAATTCATACATACAGGGTGAATTTTAAATGAGTTCCCCCCCTACTTTTATCTACATTTCTTAAGTTATCATCTCCGGACCACGTCAGATCATTGTTGAGTAGTAAGTACTTCATTTTGACTGGGTATACATTTTTGGCCGCCATCTTGGATCCGCCATATTGGATACAAAGTTTTTTTTTCAAATGTAAAGGTAGGGTTGTGACCCATTATTTCAAACCAGAGTTTTACGCTGATTACAATGCCGCAATTATTTTAAAAAAAATCTTGATCCGTTCTAAAGTTATGAGGACTTTTTATAACTTTATTTTTAGCGCATTTTAACATTGTGCATTTACAAACTAAGACCATAATCTCATAATAGTGCTAGATAAAGATAAGTATACACCACCATTCATTGCCGACAAATTTTCACTTGGTTATGACGGATGTAGTTTTTTTAGCCGCCATCTTGGATCCGCCATTTTGAAATGTGAACAATTAATTTAAATATGAAGGTGGTGTTGTGACCCATCATTTTGAGCTACCTTTTTATGCTGAACTCAATGCCGCAATCCGTTTTTCATTTGCATCTTTGGTTTTTGAAATATTGAAATTTTAAATAAGACTATTTTAATATTTCATCAAGACAGCCTGATAACCAAAAACGGATTGCAGCATTGAGTCCAGTATAAAAAAGTTGTTCAAAATGATGGGTCACAACACCAACTTCATATTTAAATTAATTGATCACATTTCAAAATGGCGGATCCAAGATGGCGGCTGAAAAAACTACATCCGTCATAACCAAGTGAAAATATGTCGGCAATGAATGGTGGTGTATACTTATCTTTATCTAGCACTATTTTGAGATAATGGCCTTAGTTTGTAAATGCACAATATTAAAATGCGCTAAAAATAAAGTTATAAAAAGTCCTCATAACTTTAGAACGGATCAAGATTTTTTAAAAAATAATTGCGGCATTGTAATCAGCGTAAAACTCTGGTTTGAAATAATGGGTCACAACCCTAACTTTACATTTGAAAAAAAAACTTTGTATCCAATATGGCGGATCCAAGATGGCGGCCAAAAATGTATACCCAGTCAAAATAAAGTACTTACTACTCAACAATGATCTGACGTGGTCCGGAGATGATATCTTAAGAAATGCAGAAAAAAGTAGGGGGGGAACTCATTTAAAATTCACCCTGTATAATGGTTGAAGCTTTAATAGCAACACAGCACTCCTGGTAACTGGAGACAAATTCACTTTAATATGAGCTCAGTAGTTCTTCTCTGCTTTATTTATTTTCTTTCGAGATTAATCGTACAGCAAATGCAAGCACAACTAAATGAGATTTCGGTGGCTTTGTCTTCAAACTTGCGAATATTTAAGTCTAGTCAAAAGTAAACTCGAGAAAGAAAATAATACAAATTTTAAATTCAGTGGTTGACATTACTACAAGTTAATATTTAGCTCAACTGGACTTTGGTCATATGTTTAATGTGTTGATACATTAAATAACTGCCTTGTTTCTGAATCATCTTATTAAGATCATCTAATACTTTATATTGTTTAGTACTGGTATATAATTGTCATTACAGAATTTTTTGTCAATTCAATAATTTTTCACGGTGACGATGCTCATATGAATGTTTTGGCATTTTGTCATAGACAATTACTCGTAGACCTATGTGACGTAGATGGAACGTATTGTTGACATAATGTACGTCTTGGGAAACAAATCATAATAATGAATATTTAGTTTTGGTTTAAAATGTCAACATGCAGTAATACAGTCATAGTCTAACTGCAAAGTCAGATATATTTAACGGATAGTGTTGGATAACAAATATGGGCTCGGATTGGATTAAAATATCTCAACATTTTTTTGGATATCCACACACCTCGAATCATAATCCTGCATAATGAGAAAAGGAATGTAATGGTGGTAAGATATTCAAGATTAATAAAATATTAGTGATGGTCGGATCCGAATATCGGACTACCGGATCCGCCGGATCCGAGCTAGAACCGGCACCGGATCGGATCCAAAAAATTCCGGATCTTGGGCTGGATCCGGTTTTGATGGATCCGATTTTTCCGATTTTTTTACGAACACAAAGCTGTCTGTATCCATGTAAAAGACCGATTTTTTCTCGATTTTTTACTCAATGTCACAGTGCTGTATATTACGACGTCAATAACCTCCATAGTTAGGCAATGTACTGTATATTACGACATCAATAACCTGTATGGCTGGGCAATGTCACAGTACTGTATATTACGACGTCAATAACCTGTATGGCTGGGCAATGTCACAGTACTGTATATTACGACGTCAATAACCTGTATGGTTGGGCAATGTCACAGTACTGTATATTACGACGTCAATAACCTGTATGGCTGGGCAATGTCACAGTACTGTATATTACGACGTCAATAACCTGTATGGTTGGGCAATGTCACAGTACTGTATATTACGACGTCAATAACCTGTATGGTTGGGCAATGTCACAGTACTGTATATTAAGACGTCAATAACCTGTATGGTTGGGCAATGTCACTGGGCAATGTCACAGTACTGTATATTACGACGTCAATAACCTGTATGGCTGGGCAATGTCACAGTACTGTATATTACAACGTCAATAACCTCTATGGTTGGGCAATGTCACAGTACTGTATATTACGACGTCAATAACCTGTATGGTTGGGCAATGTCACAGTACTGTCGTCAATAACCTGTATGGTTAGGCAATGTCACAGTATTATATATTACGACGTCAATAACCTCTATGGTTGGGCAATGTCACAGTACTGTATATTACGACGTCAATCAAATCAAATAAAATCATCCTTTATTCATAATGTACAATATATACATGAATAGTGTCAATTATTAAGATACCAACATAAAAAATAATATAATACATAAAATAACAATAACCTGTATGGTTAGGCAATGTCACGGTACCGTATATTACGACGTTAATAACTTCTATGGTTGGGCAATGTCACAGTACTGTATATTACGACGTCAATAACCTGTATGGTTAGTCAATGTTACAGCACTGTATATTACGACGTCAATAACCTGTATGGTTAGGCAATGTCACAGTACTGTATATTACGACTAGGGATGTGTCAAATCCGGATCTCGAATCCACCGAATCTTAAGAAAAGATCGGGATTCGAGAATATATAACTATACAGGTTATTGGCGTCGTAATATACAGCACTGTGACATTGCCTAACTAATATCATAAACTAATAGTTTTATTTTAAGATTTGGAAAAGTTTTAGTGTCTCAAAAAAATAAGGGATTATGGGCTCAACTGGAGATAACTCTATATATAAGATATATTAACCTTTAAACTTTACCAATTTAATTTTAAACAGTATGATTTAAATTGGCATTCTGTTAATTACGTTTCTTAAACAAGCCCTTATAACAGTGTGTATCTGGATCCGGTACCGACATTTTCTTGGATCCGCCCATCACTATAAAATATTAAATATGGAATTTTTTAATGTTAAAAAAAGTGTACAGGTTTCAAATCTATGCATGTAATTTCTGTATTGCCTGACTAAGATCCCCTCATTTTGCTGATAGAAAACCAATTAACTACAGTTTATAAGTTAAAGTGACAAAATGATAAAGTACAAGAAAAAAACAGTTGATGTCAAGGTATCTTTAACATTGATCCCAACGATAACACCAGTAGGAAATTAGTAGTTAATCAGTGTTTTGATAACTACTTATCAATAAGCTTCATTTATTATAATGAGACCATTAATTAATTTTTTTTATGTTGAGATTGGTTGATAATTCTAATTAGATCACAACTATCCGCAGTACTATCCTGATAATTAGACCAATTCTTAATTACCAAGGCAAAAATGTGGTACGGATTCCACTATAAACTGTAGGTCACTTAGTTGCCATTAGCTGTATGGGCTATTAATTAACAGCTGTGTCTAAGGAATGTCGGCCTCAGTCACTAACAAGACTACAAGATCGCCCCACTCATCCTACACTCATCTCCATTCATACTTGGCTTAAAATACCTACTTTGTATAGTCGCCATTTCATAGAACAGTATTAACAGTATCTACCTCTGTTGCAACCATTCTATTAAGAGACAATTGTAATGTGTGAGCCACTTATTAAACTACTACTACAATTAATTACAGAACAAACGTAAAAGCTATTTTAATTGTTTTAAATTATAATAAAGTTTCTTAATAAAATAACTATTATTAGTGTTGTGGAATCTAGAAACAGAAAATGTCAATTACAAAAGATTATCAGACAAACTATACAATATATTTAATCCTGATATAAAGCAATATTTTAAAACTATCATTTAAGTAAGTAAAATTACAATTTAATGGGAGATAAGTCAATTGAATTCTCCAAAATTATGTTAGTACAACAAATAGAACATTTGTCAAAATTAAAAATACTTTGCTTACTTTGGGCATTCTTGTCATTCCTCCGACCAAAAGGACTTCACCGATGTCATTCTTGGAAACCTCCCCATCTTGCATTGCCTTCTGACAGGGAGAAATTGTTCTTTTGATTAAATCACCAACCAGACTTTCAAACTTTGAACGGGAAAGTTTCAGATTCATGTGTTTGGGTCCAGAAGCATCTACCGTGAGGTAAGGAAGATTCACATCAGTTTGAAGAGATGATGATAATTCTATCTTAGCCTTTTCTGCTGCTTCTTTTAACCTTTGCATTGCCATTGGGTCCTTGGTTATGTCGATCCCTTGCTGTAAGAAAAAGCTTCCTTTTAATACAAGAGTTATTAAGCTAGCTGTTATTTGTACACATTTAACAGTGATAGGTAGGAGGTAGCTCCTGTGTAGATTAAGTTTGACAAATTACTCGGCCAAAATGGTCAAATCAAGTAGTATTTGGAACTATTTTAACTTGAATGCAATATCAATTTAATTGGATAGTTATTATTTTAGGGATTGTTTTTGACCGGTTGCAATATGTAGGACAATTTTGCAATAGGTCACTAGTGTTATAAACACATAACTTTTGGCAATAATTTTTTTCTGTTAGAGCCAATGGAAGTTAAGCCGTGTTAACACCGGAGTTTAGAACAAAATGTTTGGAACTTTTTGTAGGTAACACTTGTTTATAAAACAAAAGTTTCTAAAATAAAAGCTTACAACAGATCAAAAACTTTTCTTTAATTTTTTTGGAAACAATTTAATCACCGTTATCCGAGAACACAAGGTCAGTCAGTTCCTCTCGAGATAGTCATGCGGGGGTGGGTAAGTGCAGGGCGGTAGTGGGGAAGTGTTGTAAGCATCGTAGAAGTACAGAAACATACGGCAACATTTGTTTCAAAACAAATGTTTCCTTATGTTTGGAGTACCTTTTGATCTTTACCGACTTCTGGTGGGAAACAAAATTTCTGTTGTAGTAAACACTAAAAAACTGTTTCCAACATCAAAATATTTCTGTTCCAATAGTAGTGTTTCTTCGTTTTTTAGAAACATTAGCACGTGTTCCTAACTCCGGTGTAAACGTAGCTTTAAATACTGAATCATTCTTATTTTGAGTGTGATTACTTAAGTGTTTTTTTTACTTTTTCCATTAAAACAAAGTCACTGCATTTTTCATCAGTAGTATTATAAAAAGCGATATTTTTTCCTTTAGTCAAATGAGCTTTGCTTATAACTTACTTTATAAAGTCTGTACAACTTTTGAGGTTATTAAGTCCTGTATCACAACTGGTAACCTAAGGATTAAAAGTTATTCAAACCCAAACAGCAAAGTTTGCACAAATAAAACCAACGAGCGACCAGGACAAGTGCCAATCAAGTGCAATGTTCAAGTGTGTCGATGTGCCAATCATTCTTTTAAGAATTATCACCAACCTTGGTTGTGTGACGGAACAAGGCTTACAGTGAAGGTGCTATAGAAAAATGTAATTAAAGCTTCAATCCTCAATGAAAATTTCAAGAAAGAAATGCTCTCTCTCTCTCCATGAGTTCCCAACATCCGCAAAGATATGCCCCTCCAGTCCAAGATTTTACAGGTTTCCCGTATGACACGCTCATACAATGACAAAAAAAAATCACAAGAGCAATCATTGCAAGTGTGTGAGGGCATGACTTGGATAAACCGTGTTTCTCCCACGTACAAAAATATAGTGTCATAACTCATCTAATTTGTTTGTATACACATCAGATAGGAAAACAACACCTTTAATACCTGCTGCGACGTCGTTGACCAGAATTTCTGGATAGACTGTGTCAAGGATAAACTAAAAATAATATTTACACTATTTACAATACTTTTGGCAAGATGGCGATGAGCCTATACTCGGTGGAACGCATCAAAATACTCGTCAACTGAGTACAGTGGTTGGTCAACTAGCCAGGCTTTAACTTTCTTTTTAAAAGCGGACGGTTCACAAGACTTAAATCTTTGGGGGAGATTGTTGTACATCTTCAGAGCCCTAATGCGGAAAAAGCTTTGCGTTTTGGACAGCCTGCAGTAAGGTATGTGGAGCTGGTCTCTGTTACGAAGGTTGTGGGAGTGGTGGAATTCCCTTGTTGTGAGCTGGTGTAAGTTATCCCTCACATAACAGAGGCTAAACAGTACATACTGGCTGAAGATAGTAAGGATTTTTAGGCTTCTGAAGATAGGCCTACAGTGCTCACTGTCACTCTTCGATGTAATGATCCGAACCGCCTTCTTTTGAAGGAGGATCTTCACACCTTGCAGCGTGTCCCCAAAGCAGGAGTCCATAGGAGAGGTGGGTATGAAACAAGCCATGATAGACAGTGGTCAGATATTGCCTCGTCAACAGGGGTTTAAGTCTGCGGAGTAGATGGACGACTTGAGAGAGCTTCGTACAGATACTGTTTACATGGCCACTCCAGCTAATCTTTGTATCTATGACGAATCCCAGCAGCTTCACCTCTGTTAAAATGTCAGCGTTTGTACGACTGAGACTGCACACAATCTCTTGGGTTCACAACAAATGTGTTATGAAGTATAAACCAAAGTGTAACAACCTTTAAGCTTTTGAAGTAAAAAGACTTCTTAAAAAATACTTTTTGTAAACTGTGCTTAATTAAAACTACAGCAATTTGAATTCAAAATAATATTAAGAATATCTTGACATTTGTATCAACAATTAATAAGAAAGCTAAAAGATAAATAATTGAATATTTCATCACTAGGGCGTAGTGACTCATTTTGACACGAGCTCTAGTTTCACAATCCAAGGTGAAGCCAAGGTCAGAAAATGAGCGAGGGTTGAAAAGACAGTTTTTGGCTGTTTGTTGAACTATATTTTTTGTCATTATGCAATAATATTTAAAAATTTGTAAAATGAAAATACTTTTCATATAAAGATAACCTTTCAAAACGACGTACAACTTAGTTTCAATTTTACTAATGCAAATGATTAGCTGTTTAGTGATTCAAGCATTTTGTCTAATTGTGTTAGTGTACATTATATCAACGATATGTCTATAATAAGAATAAGCTATACTTGACAATATCTGAAAAATAAGCTACAACCACAATCGATACATAATTTGAATACAAGAAATTGTACAATTGAAGTTTACAACTGTGTTTATAACAGCTTATTTGTACTCTCTAGGGACTAAAAAGGTTTTTTACTACCCAGGGAGTAAAACTAACCTCTTTCTTGAATTCGGTAACCAAGTAATTGACAAGAGCATTGTCAAAGTCCTCTCCACCAAGTAATGTGTCACCGTTTGTGGACTTAACTTCAAAAACACCCTTTTGGATCTCCAAAATGGATATATCAAAAGTTCCACCTCCCAAATCATAAACAGCAATACTGAAAAACACATTTAAATAATGAAATTAGTTTTGTCAATTAGACACCTAACGATGTACACAATCAGTATTATCAGGTTATTATGAGTTACACAATATCAGTAACTAAATGACATGGGGAAATCATAACTTTATTAAATGTTTTACACTTCGTAAACGATCTTTAATACAACAAGCTTGTTTCAATGGTTTGAACATTTCCAATCGTAATATATATCCCTCCTGATGTCAGTAATTCTGTATGTAGTTTCGGTTGATTCTCGGGCATTATGTAGCAATGCTTATTAAAAATAAAAATCTCAAAACATAATATGGAGATTGACAATTTAGTAAGAATATAGAGACAAACCCCAGGAGGAAGCCTTTTTTCTGCTGTTTACAGATAAATCCAGTCCAAATCTGACAGAAATCTACCAAGTTAAAAGACAAGATGGAACTGTCTGCCCTATTACCGATGCATCGACATTTGACACCAAAAGGAATATATGATTGGATATAATATTTATATTGGAAACTACTCTTTGATAAGCCTTAAATAAAATACAGTTTAGTGATTATATAATATGATCAGAGAGTAGATTTAATATGTTGAATTTCAGAAACTTAGGACTAAAATCAAAACTTGTAAAAAAAATCGCTTCTTTTTGCTTTAACAAAAGCCACAGAGATAATTGCATTCTAAGATCATGCAAGTCCAATTAATAGAGTGATATAAATTAATTATAACTAATTTTTTTTTTAATTTCAAGAAATGGAAACATTTATTATAATAAATTTGTTAACATTGAATACAATGAGTTAAATTCAAACGTGCTAATAGTGTAATAGTGAAAGAAAGAAATTTACACTTTGTCATCAGTTTTGTCCATGCCATAAGCCAGGGCTGCTGCAGTTGGTTCATTGATGACTCTTAAAACATTCAAACCAGCAATTTGACCAGCATCTTTGGTGGCCTGCAACATAATATGAGAGTCACAGAACTGACCTGGGTTTGGCAAATTTTACTTGATAGTTGTCAAAATCATTGACAGTAACTGTCAGCTTTGTTTAAATTCACACAGCATCCAACATAAAACATGATTTAATCAAAACATCACACAATAAAATGTGGTCTGTACATAAAATACAAGACTTTTAATATTATACTTCTAGTTCAAATGAAGGGACAAATAAGCAAATAAGAAAATTATAACCAATTTCTCTAAGTGTCCCTTGTGGTGTCTTTAGATTGTATTCTTCAAAAGAAAATGAGATTATCGTGTAGATAAGGGGCTCTCCCAAGTATAGGTACAGGTTGAGAATAAACTACTAGTTTGTCAACTTATGACGTGACAATTCTCAGATAAGACTCAGTAGGATAGTACAAGAGTTTACTGAATGATGACATCTCAAAGTTTTGAGAACATTTGAAGAGAGAAACTGTAGATTCTGCAGGGTAAGGAATGAACAATCCCTTTTCTGGTAAAATGTGACTTATTTGGGGGAAAAGACAAGGCTCATGGCAATGTAACCGGTACAACTAAAGAATTAGTTCCATTTAGAAATCATCAGCTTAATCTAGAAGCTTTGGGTGTAGTAACACTACTAGCACAAAGCTTTCCCAGGACAAAATATCTACTTGCGACACCTATAGTAACATCAGTATCTGTACAGTAGGTGAAGAGAATTACATTACCTGTCTTTGGGAGTCATTGAAGTAGGCTGGTACAGTGATTACAGCATTCTTCACATTTGTTCCCAGATAAGAGTCTGCCGTTTCTTTCATTTTCATCAAAACAAATGCTCCAATCTGACTGGGTGAGTAAACTTTGCCATCGGTTCCAGTGATCCAAGCATCTCCATTGGTGGCTTTAGTGATTTTGTAGGACAATGTTTTCCTGAAAGCCACGTTTATATGGTACTTGTGGTCACAAAAATGATCAAAAACCTTTACTCGCCAGATTTCCCTTTTGGACCAAGCTTATTGAATTAAACATACCTACAGACCAATCTTTTCTATGTTTTTTTTTCTGATCAAAAAGGGTCTAAATAATATTTATTTACATTACATTACAATAAAAATATAACGATATATTTTAACAAATACTTCTTTTGTTCTCCACCATAGTTGAAATTGGTCCATTGTTTATTTCGTTGTATGTATCAATGTCTTTATCTATTAGTAGTTTGTCCATCTTTATTCATGATATAAAATACAAAAAAGGTTATAATAAATCAGGGGTGTGCGATGCAGCATATTTTTTTCGATTCGATGCGATTCAATTCCATGCAGCACGGCATGATTTTGAATCATGCCTAACCTCATTAATGGACACTGCTAATTTTATGGCTGACCTAAGGAAATTCACCCTTTACTAACAATTAGAATAAGCCTATATATCAATAAAGTAATCGTTAAGTTTATTATTATTGACCTGTATTAAATAAAATAGAGTTTATTTTATGATGTAGTATTGTTACTTAATTTTCACATTTATATTTGTTGGATTTCAATACTTCTGGTTCATTCTTAAATCAGCACGAACCAAAAAAGTTGATAATCAGTGTTTACTGTCTATTTGATACATTCTTGCATGCTATGAATAAATAGATCTAAAATTTAAAATAAAGATTGAAATTAATAAAAAGTATGTGTAAACTGAAAAGTTCAAAGAGACCAGTGAGGCCTACCAAAAGATAATAGTTATTAATTAGAACTTAAATAATATATAATGTCATTTTCTCACTATTTATATCTTCAACATTTGTTAAACTATGAAAATAAGTCACTAAGTCTAGCTGAAAACACATTAATAAATTACGATATCTTTTCAATACAGAATAATAAAACAAACCACATTTTACAAACATTTTATTTCTTAACTTTTTCCCTTGAACAGGGTGAGGAGGCCTACATTTTTTTAATGACTATCAACAAAAATGAGGTATCAATGAATTATAATTTCACGTAAGCCGCTGATGATGAGTGAGCTGTGAAGAGCAGACGACAGAATTACGTCACTACCACAGCAACTCACTCTACTGCGGGTGTTTAGTGTGAAGTGAAGCACCCCCTCCCCTGTCTAACGGGACAAGGGGTAGGAAAAGAGAAAGTTTGTCAGAATGGCAGACTTGCCCTTTGTAAAGTCTGGTTCACATGCCCTCCCTCACCCTCAGTCGCTTGCATAATTCTATTAAACAAAAGTTTCTGAGTGTTAATTTTAAAATAAATGGTTGAATTCAATGACTAAAGCATAGATCTGATAAACTTTACTCTAATTTATAAATGGGCTTATCAGAATTTTATCAACCATTAGTCAGTTTTTTTTTCTTTACTTTTATATGTAAAGATATCTTTTAATTTAGCCTTCAAGAAAAGTAAGATTATGTTTTGTTTGGGACTTAAATCTCCTTGATAAAAGAGAAAAGACTGCACGTTTGATACAATTAATTTCAATAAGTTAATGTGCAACTATGCAACAATTCTTTTCTAAAAAAAATAACAGCCTACAGTGTAAAAGAATTGTGTGCACTGTGCAGCAAAATATGTTTCTTCGGATGCTTTTAACAAACATTCCATAGGCTAGTTTTAATTAGTAACAAATGTGTTTATGTTCCTGATGATACCAAGAACAAGGCTGGGCAGAGTGGATTCACTGTGAACCAGCCGGGTACGAAACGTAACTACAACCATAGATAAAACATAGCCTACTCCCTTGTGTTGGTTAGTCTATGCTACAACGATCGATTGCAACAATTGATGTTTTGAGCAAAAATATTCATATTGATATATAATCGGAAAAATTGATGTTTTATTAAAATATTATATAACGCCATATGTCAAGATTTAGTTAACTGACATAATTGAACGTCAAATCTAGGTCTTTGTAAGACAAAAGAAAATCACACAGTTTTAAACTTTAACCTAATTTTATACTCTTTATAAACAAACATGTCCTACATAACGGTTCTTGATCAATGTATCTTATCTAAACCCTTCCCACAATAATAGACTCACACACAAATAACGACATCAAAGCAATAGTCACTTGTTCCATTGAAACACGAAAGTCGATTGGCTGACATGACAGTGCAGCGTGGCCTCTCGACCAATGAGAACTCTTGTTACATACTTTGATTTATCTTAGATAGTCAATATTTACCATTCATTATAATATTACAAAATCGACATGGACTATGCGTATGGTGTTTTTCAATCAATACTTGTGTTATAGTAGCACATAAAACTTCACTTAATCTCTTAAACTAGGTAGATAGTACAGATATAATATGGATCTACTTTTTGATGCAATAGGCAAGTGCAAGCCTGATCCTCTGACTTCGACGATGTTGTAATTGAATCAAATTTTTCTAATGATGCGTAATGCAGGGATGAAACGGACAAGTTTAGGTTATTTATTTCGTTCTAAAAATAAAAATAATACATTTAAAGGTCTGACTTATTGATACAGATATTTTTTAGTATAATTTCGTGTTAAGGACACTCCCGCGCCGGTTGTCTGAGACTGAATTCTGACTGTCTGACATCTTGAAATGAAATGTAGATTGTATTGCGTTGTGCAATATCATATGCCCGCAGAGAGAACAGATGAAGCGAAACTTTAGCTGTTTTGAACTAAATAGTGTGCTAAGTTGGTCACTAAAGTTGTTAGCGTGATTACAAAACTAATAGATATCAAATAAATAAATGTTAAAATAAAATATCTATCCATCCCTGTCAGGTGTCGGTATCGGTGGAATCGGGCGAAATCGACATTTGGCAATCGATTCTTGATACCGATATTCCTAGTATTGGCAATGTCTGATTATCGGTGGTAGCGATAATTGACACTTCCCTATCTAAAACTCATTTTGGAGTCCTTAATTAGTTTTAAATATGCATCGGGATGTAATCGTTGCATCGGGACTTAATCAATGCATTGGTCTTTTTCGATGCATCGAGGCCAAATCGATGTATCGTGATTTCGATACATGCTGAATTGAAATGCGATTCGATGCATCAAATTGAATCGAAATTTCGATGCATTTTCGATGCATCGCACACCCCTATAATAAATTCACACCAACTAACTTGAACAGGACTGGGTCAACTAACACATCGAGACCTGTAGAATTTTTATTTTTATTTTTAATTGCTCTAAAAAGTTTAACTTATTTTTTAGTTTTAAAAAATGTATAAAAAATAATACTGCCAGTTGTACAGAAATAAATCACCCACAAGGAAACCACAGCAACAGCATATCAAAAGTGCTACTCTATTAGAACTACAACTAACAACCAAGTCGATAAAATAAACCGTACATTTGTAACAAGCTTTAAAGTGTATGCATATTAGCGTCCAGTCAGTTCAGATAGTTGACGCCGGTCCGTGGCAAAAATCCTCAAGTCTCAACCATAGTTGATGCTGGTCCGTGGTGAAGAAATGTTTATAACATTTCGGTAACCAACATGTTTAATGTTTGTATTTTGAAAAATGTATATCACATCATAGCGTTGATAAGTACTTTTTTTACTAATTCAGCCTATTATATCAACATCTAAGACGAGGACATGAACAAGTTGTACTTAACCTAAAAGGTGAGTGGGGGTAAGTGAGATGCCATTTGTAGCATTGTTACAAACTATAGGATAGTTTGTTAGCCTGGTCATTGTGTTGCAAATAGGCAAGCTACATTGCCGTACCATTCAAGCAAAACCTAAAAATTCACTAGTTTACAGGTTTGCTGCACAAAATGTTTGTGAACTCTGGTCTGACCTGCTGCAGGTAATGGGGCAGTACTTCAAAATTATGTTCAAAGCCAGTCAAGTACTTACATATCTTTTTTCACTTCAGGATCATCAAACTTGCGACCAATTAATCTCTTTGTGGCATAGAAAGTATTTGCTGAATTTGTGACTGCTTGTCGCTTGGCGGGCATTCCAACTAGCCTTTCTCCATCTAAAGAAACAAATGTTTAAAATGCATTTCAAGTGGTCCGCTAAATTATTGAGGGGTAGGAACTAGGGGTGTGCGAGTACTCGAATCTTCGAGCTTTTTGGTTGAGCTTTTCATTATTCGGCTCGGCTCGAGACATTTTGAAAAAGCTCGAAGTTCGAGCCGAGCTTTTAATACTAAGTCAAAACACTTAATTTGGGTCATAATTGAAAACAATGTTATCACAATTCTACGTTGTTCATGCATTCGAGGTTTATGATAAGCACGAACCTCAGCTCAGTCAAGACGCAATGATTATCGATCGTAATTTTGAGGAGATAGGGAAGAGACAAACGACCACCTATCGCGTTGTCTTTGTCTCTCTAACAGCTATTCGTATCGTAATATTCAACGCAGTGCGAGTGCGTGATTGGCTTGTCGCTATGACGACACACGGTTGCCGTGACAACCTACAGTGCGCACTGAGCACTGCGCCTTGTGTGGGAGGGGAGATTAAACCAACAAACAATTTCAGGAATTCTATTTTGGGACGGATGAAAGATAAGGAAGAAACAAAAAGTGGTCACCTGTGCAAATGCAGTGGGCGACACAATAAGGCTGTAAACGAGTGTTGTGTCCTTGTTTGTTTACTTTTCAGATTCCTTATCAAACGCCCCTATCTGCTATCTCTTTCTCTCTCTCTCTCTCTCTCCCTCTCTCTCTCTCTCTCTCTATCAATGTACTGATTAAACAGATTGTGGTTGAAGACTTTTCTACTTATAAGTTTCCCTGCAGTTATTTTAGTTTAATCAATCCTATAACCTTTCTAATGTTTATGAAAATAATTAATTAGGCTATCTGTTTTGTATTTTATTTCCTTTAAACCAACCCCTATTTTAGTGAATTTCCCATTAGGGAATAAGCTATTACCGTAGTACTCATGGTAAGACCTGGACGCGGGACCGATTTTTTTTTCATTTTGAGGTCCCCAGAGGTCAAAAACACCATCCGTTCAAATTCATATATATATATATATATATATATATATATGTGTGTGTCCGTTAGCACGATAACTCGAGCAAAAATTATCCGATTTTGATGAAATTTGGTACAAACGTGTAAACCTACGTTTATTCTAACGAGTTCGCGATCCAGCATGATCGGACCATGGGAACGGGGGTTTACGGGGGGTTTTATGGGGTAAAATTAGATTTTTCCCATTTTTGACCCAAAAAACATAAAATTTAGCAATTTCTTTCCAAACCATTTTGTAGAGCTTAAAAAAACAAATAATTTAGTATATTGAAGCGTTATTATGAGCCTAATGGTTACGGAGAAAATTCCAAAAAATTGTAAATTTAAAATTCCCATGTTATTCTTAAGGAGAATAAGTAAATTGTTGTAGTTTGCTTGTTTATGAACATATTTTGATCAAATTTGGAAAATGTTTTTATTTCTTACTAACTATTAACGTTTTACAAAAAAAACCGTTTTACCCTCCCTGATGCAGCAAACCTAAGTACTAGTTAAACTAATTCTATTTAAATAGAGAATAAATGTTATATTTTTAAGTAGACATTTCAGTGTAAATCCAATCAGTCAAATTGAAATTCGCTTAGTCTGCAGGTTTGCTGCGGCAGGGGTATACTAATGTATTTTATAGAATAAAATGTTTGTTTATAAAGTTTGACTGGCCACACAATTTTGTAACTTTTTTTATTTTGTAAAAAGTAACAGTTGCCTTGATGATTACAAGTATCAATAAGTGGTGCGTGCTGTAGTGAATGCTTTTTATTATCAAAATAAGTAATGAATTATAAATTTTTGATAATAATACATGGGTCATTGAATACCATAATGTGATGTAGTTTCCTATTTGTAATTTGCAAATAATAATAATTGATAGCTAATTCTGGAAAATGAAAAATAGTGAACGCATTCATAAACCTGTTGTCACGCGGGTGTAAGGGTTTAACTTATTGTTTCAGAGGCTAGGGTGTTTCAAGGACAATGTGTTGGGCCTCCCGGTTTAGGGGGGAGGGGTGGTGGCGAGACTGCAGGAAGGGGAGGAAACTGGTTTTGGCTATTTATTGATTAGTTGCCGACCCTTCTAGATAATGAAATTGAGTGACAGTGTTAATTCATACTTCATAGTGTTCTTTTTCATTTCTTCTTTACTTTGTGTGTTATTCTATTAATTTTAGTGTTTTGTTCTATTTCCTCCAAATGTCAATTATATCTTTTTTAATATATAAGTTTACTTTTTACTTGTCTCTCCACCTTTTTGGATCCAAACCAACTATGTTCTTTTTTGATTAATACGATTGATTGAACTAAAATATTTTGTGCATGGAAAACAACAAGAATAATCATGTGTTTTTAATTTTATTTTCTATTTATTTATACAAAATAGAATTAAATATTCATAGTAGTTACAATATACATAATTTAATGTAATCGTCTTGCTAGTTGTTTTGTCATCATGCAAGGTCGCGTTGCTGTTCTGTTATGAAAGACAATCTGATTGTCTCTGATGTGTCTGACAGTCTGCACTGCATATCTCGTCAGGCCTTCAATTATCCTTTTATTTCTTGCATCTTAATTTAGTTCAGTTCAGTTCTTATCGTGATTATCTACTAACTTATTTGATGTCTTGACAATTCTCAATGTTTTTAAACATATTAAAATAACATTGTGTTTATTTAAAAATTGACTAAACATTATTATTATGCACTTTTTTAAGAAAAAAAGTTTAATAATTTAGATAAGGTGACGCTAGAAAAAGCTCGGCTCGGCTCGGCTCAAGGTTGAAAATCACTATTCGCACACCCCTAGTAGGAACTAGGAAGTATGCTTCGCTGGCAAATATGGTACTTTCCATGCTGGTTTTATCAATACATTTGGATATCTGGCAATATAAATTAGGTAATTTAAATTTTTATAAAATTACTGACTGGCCAAGGTAAAGAAATTATAGACCCTACATACACCAATTTCGGCACAATTGGTGCAAATTGAAATTTGTCACAATTGTTGATCTTGGGTCCAAACCTCTGGGAATATTCTGCATCATACGAAAGTCACTCATTTAAAATGTTGTATATATAAATAAAATTTGAGTTTTGTCTGTACATTGCGTAGAAACGTATATATATGTTTCGGTTATTTTTGCATTTCATACCATAGGAAAGCTGAAACGCGAGTTAACTTAATTTCTGTCTGCCTGTCTTTCTGTCTGTCTGTAACACCCAAGATTTTAGATTTTTTTTTTAATTTTTTTTAATAGCAAAGTACCCCTTGTGATATATCAAATGAAAGAGCATGAAAAAAGAAAATTTTTGGTGAAAAAAAAATTAAAATCGGCTCATGAATTTGTGAGATAATCACCCCCCTTTTCCCCTACCCATAACTTGTTTTTTAATAGCAAGGTACCCGCCCTTGTGACATATCAAATGAAAAATAAATTTCACCAAACATTTTCTTTTTTCATGCTCTTTCTTTTGATATGTCACAAGGGGTACTTTGCTATTAAAAAAAAATAAGTTCCGGGGGGGTGAGGGGGGGAATATCTCACAAATTTATGAACCGATTTTCAATTTTTTTTCATCAAACATTTTCTTTTTTCATGCTCTTTTATTTGATATGTCACAAGGGGTACCTTGCTATTTAAAAAAATTAAGTTGGGGGCAGGGGGGTAAAGGGGGGGAATGTGAACGTTGAATTCAAAACAATTGGTCCCCCGTCAATAGATGATTCCCGCAAACTGCATATTTCTATCAATTGCGGTTTTTACATAAATAAAGATGCAAGTTTTTAAAAAAACACCCTGTATATAGGTACTGTGGTATTTGACAATTTGAAGAAAATAAGCACTTAAAGCTATTTAAACCTAAATAAAATTCAAATAATGCCATGGACTATAGAACGGGTGACATGTTACATAATGGTAATATTATGAACTAGAGTTTCGGCTGTTTGTGATTTTTTTATATTCAAAAATTTATTGAAATTGATGATGTTCTGTTTTAACATTTGGGTTATGTTGAATGACTTATAAGTAGGCCTAGTAAGAGTTTTTATTTATTTTTCATACTATTGAATGTGCCTTATAACAAACCATAAGAAAAGAGGCCTAATTAATTATTTTAATAGAAAGGAGAATCATTTTGTTGATGTTGTAATTTCAATACTTATGAATTTATTTTGATGCTATTTGATGCAGATAGTAACAACCTTCTATTTTGAGAAACTCTCCAATGGCTAGCTTGCTTCTAGATTGCTCCCTAATTGTATGGGACAAATGCACCATGGCTCACAAAGTCGCCATTGAAGCATTGGACGGGACATTGAAAGATTAGAAACAGTCCAACCACCATGGCCTATATGTAACGGTGACCTCTACTGTTGTGGTGCGTGGAAGAGGGCTGACGAGATCAATGCATCTCTGAAGTGATCCACTTTGTGGCCTACCATAGAACGCCTCTCACTCACATTAAATATGAGAGCTGTTTGCATTGGTCAACGTGGAGCTGAGGAATTCCAAGAGATTCTAATGAAGGTTGGAGACGGAATATTGGAAAATATAAATAGAATAATTGCCCCTCCTTCACTTGGTGTTGTCAGATCACAAGAAAACCTGATAACCAGTGTCTTCCCAGAAGTTCATGAACTACTTTAAATGGATAATGCCTGGTTCTTCGAATGTACAATTCTGACAACTAAAAACGAGCAAGCAACGCAGATAAACAATTAGGCGATGGCTCTCTTCCACGATAAATAACTTACGTATAAGTCAGTGAACACCATCCTGAGAGAAGATGATGCTGTAAACTATCCAGCAGAGTTTCTCGACCTCAGTATCAGCACCTGGTTTGCCTGCCTATGAGCTCACCCTGAAGATTCTGGAGCTCCAGTGATGCTGCTAAGAAACTTACATCCATCCAAATGATGTAATGGAACGCGTCTTCGTATTCACAGTCTCCAGTGATACAACATTGAAGCAGAGATTCTCACTGGTTGTGGGG